TTTAATAACAGTTAGTCTAATGTGATCCGGTTATTTCAAATATTGCAAATCGATCTTGACTAAGTTTTAAGTAAAATAGATTGAACAAAACGTTAATTTTATGATATAAATAAGTGAAAAAGTTATATAAATTCGGTTCTAAAATATATCACCGTTGTAGCGAAAATATATTAGTGTACGAGTAATTCCATAGACAGTTACCTCGGCTTTCTTGCTTAAGCCCATGCAAAGGAGCTTCGTCATCATCTTCAAAGCTTAGCTCATCATCTGGATCCTCCGACTCATCATCCTCTTCTTCATCAAAAGCGATACATTTAGAAGCTGCTGCTGCTGCCAATTGTTGAGTCGTGGACTTTATACGAATGGCAATAGGAGTTGCTTGACGCAACAAACTAGGTTTTCCATTAGAACCACTGGTTGAAAGCCGTTTAGACAGACCTTTGCGAGGTGCGACCTTTGAAACGCTAGATAAGGCGTTATTCAGAAGTTCAACATCCTCTTCGTCTTCGTCAGATCTTGATGACAAGGAAGAAAGCTTGCTGACTGAAGATGCAACGCTTACTGAGTTTTGCTTGGCACTAATTCGTTCGAAGAATGCACTTAAAGAATTGTCCGCATTGGAAAATGCTAGGTTGGCATCTTCACCCGCAGCATTAACACCAACTGAATCACCACCTTCATCATCCTCCTCTTCCTCTTCCTCATCTTCTTCTTCCTCCTGTTCAAACCATTGTTCTTCTTCCGCATCAAGGCCACCTCTAGATTCACGAGTACTACTATGGACCACACTTGAAACTGAAGAGAGTGAGCGTATCCCAGAAAAGGCAATTGTACTACCTGTCCCAGAGCTGACAGAGACGGAATTGGCAAGTCCAGAAGCCACAGAACCAACAGCCACTGGAGTTTGATGATTATGTAAAGGAAGCCTAGAAAAAAAGATGTAGATTGCTTAATCGAGCAAAAAAAATAAATAAAAAGCCTACGGAAATGTGAATAAACCTACATATCCAGAGTAGGCTGCTGACCACAGACAGGGGATGATAAAAAGCTAGCTCGAGGCCCACGGTGAATATGCTCGTAGGCCTTACGGAGACCAAGGAAAGTTTGAACGTATGTTACTCGTGTCAAAACGTCACCGAAATTTTCCACAATGTGAATAATAAGTTGGGAAATGTTTTCGATACGTATATATTCAAAGAATTCAATTATCGCGGAGTCGACTAAATTATAACGATGGCCATTTGATATAAACAGCTCGACAACGGGTTCTATCAGATTATTTTTAACTAAGTAGCGATGGTAGAACTCTTCCTTCATATTTATAACTCTTCTTAACAATCGTAA